AGACCTTTCATTTGAGTACCCACATCAATTTTTCATATTCTTATATATATTATATATATGTATATGTAAAAAATATATCAAAAATGCACGTGGGTACTCAAATAAAAGCTCTTGATGAGTGTAATATCGGAATGCGCTTCTATCTTGAAAAATGTCAATAATTAAGAAATGACATTGCATCTTGTGAACTATTGAAATTTTTGAAGATATAAGCTCACCCTGATGTTACACTAATCGAGACCTTTCATTTGAGTACCCACATCAATTTTTCATATTCTTATATATATTATATATATGTATATGTAAAAAATATATCAAAAATGCACGTGGGTACTCAAATAAAAGCTCTTGATGAGTGTAATATCGGAATGCGCTTCTATCTTGAAAAATGTCAATAATTAAGAAATGACATTGCATCTTGTGAACTATTGAAATTTTTGAAGATATAAGCTCACCCTGATGTTACACTAATCGAGACCTTTCATTTGAGTACCCACATCAATTTTTCATATTCTTATATATATTATATATATGTATATGTAAAAAATATATCAAAAATGCACGTGGGTACTCAAATAAAAGCTCTTGATGAGTGTAATACCGGGATGAGCTTATATTTTTAAAATCGTCAATAGTAAAAAAAGTACAGTACAATTTAACAACAATCATTATTTAATAAACCAAAATTTCATTTATTTATAGTTCACAAGTCACGGCGGTCACATAGTGACTGCAAGGTTGCTAGTTTTTAGAATTTTTTTAACTGATAAATTATTTTTTTTTTAAATTTCATAATTAGAAACTTTCAAAAAATTATAAATGTAATTTTTCATAAATAATTGTCTAAGCCTAGTTTTATTATTTTTTAATTAAAAAATTATCAAGTGCTAACTTTAATATCATTAATTTATGGTGCTGAGATTGAGAAACAGCTGATATAATTTTTAGAATTTCTTTAAGTAATAAATTATTTAATTATTTATTTAAAAGAAACATTTATTTCAAAAATTCTATTATTAGAAACTTTAAAGAATTACAGTAATGAAAATTAACTTGGCTGATATTTAATAATTTGAAGAATTTTTTTAACAAAAAAAAAAGAAAAAAAATTGCAATTTAGAAACTAAAAAAAAAAAAAATTCAATTCTTTTAAAATAATTTTTTAGAACAAATTTTTTTGTTAAAAAAAATTAAAAAATAATCAAGTGACTGCTAACGTTGATGTAATAAATAATTATCAATGCAATTTTTCTAAAAATAATTTTTTAGAAAAATTAAAAACATGTTATAAATTTATGACATTAAAGTTAGCAGTCACTTAACAATTTATTAATTTTATTTATCAAAAGAATTTGATCCAAAAAATTATTTTAAAAAAATCGCATTTTTTTTATATTTTAAAATTTCTACATGTCAATTTTTTTTTGTCATAATTTATTTGCTATAAAATTTTTAAAATTATCAAATATATGCTAAATTAATTTCGATTATAAATTTTAAAAATCTATAATCCATTAAAATAAACTTACGTTAAAAACTTTACATATAAATGAAAGGCAGCTTCTAAATCACCTTCAACTCGATAAATAGTAGCTTGTTTAATCATTTCAATCCCCGAGCGATAATACCTGTAATAAAATAAATCCAATAAATAATTAAAAATTACATAAATAATTATTGACAAGTACCTCATAGGTTCCACAGCAAATTTAACTTCAACTGCTGCTGCACTATCAACAGCGTGCTTAATCCTCGTTTGAGGATCTCCTATCAAAATATTTCTTCTCGGATTCATTTTATTTATTAAAAATTTTTTATTGTAATTAATATTTATCACTCTTATGTGACTAATTAATTTATTTTTCACTATTTAGTTGATTTATTTCATACTTCCAATCATTGAAATAATTTATTCAATTTTAATTAAAAAAAAATACACATGATTTTAATATAATAAACACTCACAGTGTTAATTTAATAATTATTACCAATTAACAACAACAAAAACAAAAGTGACAAATAAATATATAAACATTTTTTTATATTGTTAGGTTATGAAATAATGACAGAATTTTAATACTAGAGACACCTCGTGGTTATTTATTAAAAACTAACAGCTGTTAATTTTTTTTAAATTTTATAATAAATTAATTTTAATAAATAAAAAATACTAGAAAAATTTTTTAATTACATTTTTTTAATAATTTTATTGTTATAAAATTATAAAAAAAATTTTAATGTCATGTTTTTTTTTTTATTAAATTTGTAATTTTAAATTTACCGCGCAGAAGCGCGGGAAAACCCGGACCAATAGGACGCTTCGGAGCCTCCGACCAATAGGAAGCCTCTAAGCTCCCCCCGCTCCGCTCCCTTGGGCTATAAATTAAGCAGCATCACGCAGAGGCGCCGACTCTGCTGCCGACTTTCGATAAGTAAGGATTTCTCTATACCGGCGCGCTTAAACTTAATTCTTAAATGACAAGTGTCATATTTTTTTAGTGAGTTATTTAAAATAGACAATTAAAAATTCGCGCGGTTTAATTTTTTAATTTTTAATTATATTTTAGTGGATTGTGTAATTATTAGTAGTTTTTAAATTTTATTAGTTAGTTAAGTGGTGGAAATTTTTAGTGATAGTGCATTTGAAAAATTTTTTTGTGAATAAGTAAATAAAGTGAAGTCAAGGGAATAATTAAAGTGAAGTGTATAAATAAATAATAATGAAATTAGCCGACATTTTTAATTTTTTGATATTTTAAAAATTTTTTAAATTATTAAATTAAAACTAAAAAATATTTTTTTAAAATTGCATTTTTAGTTTTTCGAATTTTTTACAAATGAAAATTTTTTTTTATTATTTTTTTAAATTATTTTTTCAGTAGAAAAAATTTCTAAAAATTTTTAAATGTCGGCTAACTTAATTTTCCTGAAGTGAATAAATAAATAAAGTGAAGTGAAAAATAAATAAAGTGAAGTGAGTGAATAAATAAAGTGAAGTGAGAGTAAATAAAGTGAAGTGAATAAATAATGGAAATTAAGTTAGCCGGTATTTTTAATTTTTTGATTTTTTTTTTTCATTAATTGAATTAGAACAAAGAAATATTTTTTAACAATTGCACTTGGAGTTTTTTAAGTTTTTTACAAGTGAAATTTTTTAAAAATTCTTTTATAATAATTTATGAAAATTAATCTAGCATATATTTAATAATTTTAAGAATTTTATAACTAATAAATTATCACAAAAAAAAATTATAAAAAAAAATTGACATGTAGAAATTTAAAAAAATTAAAAATGCAATTTTTTAAAAATAATTTCTTGGAGCAAATTTTTTTGTTAAATAAAATTAAAAAATTGTAAAGTGACAGCTAACTTTAATATACTTATGACATTAAAGTTATCAGTCGCTTGACCATTTTTTAATTTTTTTTAATAAATAAATTTGCTCTGAAAAATTATTTTAAAAAAATTACATTTTTTATTTTTTTAGTTTTCTAAATGTCAATTTTTTTTTTCATTTTCTTTGACATAATTTATTTGTTGAAAAAATACTTTAAATTATAAAATATCTGCTAAATTAATTTTTATATGTCGGCTAACTTAGTTTTCATGAATAAATAAATAATGTGAAGTGAATTATTTAAAGTAATTAACTAAATAATGTTAAGTGAATAAAATTGTCAAAATGGATTGCAATAATTAGATAATTGACAGGTAATGTAAACATTAATATTAAAAAAAATTAATTAGCAGACATCTTTTTTATTTCAAAATTTTTTCTTTCATTATTTTAAAATTAAAAGTATAAAAGTATGATTTTAAAATTGCACTTATAGTTTTTCTAATTTTATTTTTATATTTTTTTGAATTTTAGAAAAAATGAATTATAATTAAAAAAATATTTTTAAAAAATTACCTCAGTAATTTTTTGACAGGTGACATTAAAAAAAAAATTTTTTTTATAGTAATTTATTTAAAAAAAATTCTAAAAATCATAAATGTCAGCTGACTTTATTATTATTAATAAATAATTGTAAATTTGACATTACCGACTAAATCGGCGCTGGTGTCGGTTTCGGAGAGGAAACAAAGAGAGAGGTGCTGTATACAGTTGATCTGTTGTCTATTTATGGTTAGAATAGTCAGTAATCCGTAATCAGTAATCAGAATTAGGGATTGTTTGTCAGTCAATAGTTTGGTTGATTGTTAATTGTCAAGTTAATTGGATTTAATTAAATTAGATTAAGTCGGTATAATGTCAACAATATCCGCGTCTGAAGCTCCCCATCTCCAGCAAATCGATCTTACCAAATTGAGTTTGCAACAATTAACCTTACTGAAGCAGCAACTCGACAAGGAGCTCAATGTATTTCAAGATTCACTTCAAACTTTGAAAATAGCTCAGAGTAAATTTCAAGAGTCTGGTTTTTGTTTAGACAAAGTCACACCTGAAGCCAAAGGTAATTTTTTATTTATTTATTATTTTACATTTTAACAGTAAGTACATTTATATTTATGATTTTAAAGTTAGCAAGCACTTGATCATTTTTTTTTATTTATTTAACAGAAAAATTTGTTCCAAAAAAATCATTAAAAAAAAATTAAATTTTTAGTTTATTAAAATTTTTACATGTCAATTTTTTTTGCCAATATTTATTTATTTAATTTATTGTTTATTTTTTTATAACTTTAAATTATTTAAAAAATTATTTATTTCTTATAAATTTGAATTATTAAATTAATTGATTATTTTTTTTTTAATTTAAATTATTTAAAAATTTACTCCAATTTTTTTTTTGAAAAGAATTTCTAATTATAATTAATTATTTAGGTAAAGAGATTCTCGTGCCGCTTACTGAGTCGATGTACGTACCAGGAAGGATGTCCGACACTGAGAATGTGCTAGTGGACATTGGGACTGGATACTTTGTCGAGAAAAATGTCGAAGATGCGAAAAATTACTTTTCAAGACGCGTTGCTTATGTAACAGAACAGATGGAGAAGATCCAGGTGCTGGGGCTTGAAAAAAGCAAGATCCGTGATGCTACCATCGATGTTATGAGCATGAAGATTCAAGGACAAATGCAAAAAGAGGCTGCTTAATTTTATATCGAGACTTTATTTTATTGATAGATTTACGCATTTCATTAAATCAATAAATAATTCATCTTTAATTTAAATCACAACATGCGTTTCCGTTCATTTCAATTTATATTAATTAATTAATTAATTAATAATTTAATATTTCTTCTTGTTTAAAATTAAAAAAAAAAAATAAAACACTAAATAATTTCTTCTTTAATAATAATTATTCAATATAATCAATAAAAAATTAAATTAATTATACAGATCATTAAGAATAAATTTCTCTTGAAGATATTTTGCCGCTAGTGTCGTCGACCTTAAGCTCACGCATTTTTCTCAGTATTTATTTCAATAAATAAATTTAATTAATCATTTAAAACAAGCCAGGATTTAATTTAAGTGATTGTGAGTAATTATAATAAAATTATGATAAACATTGATAAGCCCGCGTGGAATTAAAGAGTTTAAAATTGACAGTTTCATCCAAACACCAATTGTTAGTAGAAAAATAAAAAAAATTATTTTTTTATTATTAATTATATCCTCAATTAGGATTTTATTTTGTTAATATATTGTTATTATCGTGTTATGGACCACGAGATTGGTGAGATTACTCTGACGCGGTCTCGACGCTTTAAAAAGTACGTCGGCGCCGGGCGTCGGCGTCTCCCCCAAAACGAGTGCTCAATACAAAATATATAATAGCATTCGTCGATTTTAAAAATCGTAGTAGTAGTAGTAGTAGTATAATACATATATCTTTATATATTTTATATACCTATAATTCTTTCGGGTATATACAGATAGTTATGTTCAATGTGTACGTATATGTGCGCATCAGCTAGAAATTTTATTTGAGCTGTAACGCGTTTATATATATCATTATTAAATTATTATAAAAATTTATCAATTATAATAATAAATAAAAATGTTTACTATTTCTTCTTTTCTAAATTTTAAAAATTAATTTAATTATTTTGTAAACATTTTTTCTTTTGATCAATTTAATTTTCTAAAATTAAATTTAAACAGTAATTAATTATAATAATGATAACAATTAAAATAAAATAGTTGCAAGTAAAGAGACAGCAATAATATCTCCCACTCTTAAGAAATGTTAAAAAAAAAATCAATACTTAATAATTATCAATTAATTGCAAGCAGCACATGCGTATATCACTCCTAATTTATTTTTTATTTTTATCTGTTCTTAATGAAACATTAAATATCTCCGAAAATTGGGTCATTTTATCAGATTTTTATATAACAAAAAAAATTCATTCCAATGTCAATGCAAATGATTTTCAATTATTTTGTCCCAATTAACCACAAATAAAATCTGAAAATGTCACAAAAATAAATAGAATGTCTAAATTATCTTATAAAAATTTTGAGTACTTACTGTGCAGTGTAGTTGAAGATCCTCTGGCACTCTGGTCAAAGTTTGTGTCTCTGGATGGAAAAATAAAGAGAGTCAAGGACGAGCTGCTGAAAAATGACAGAGTGATTGAAATTACTGGAAAAAGCGAGCGTAGTAACAGTAAAGATTACATACCAACCTCGCTAATCTGTCCTTCAGATTCCGAAGCTTTTCTTGATATAGAACTTCCGATTATAGTGTTTGTGTTAAAAAATCTCAAGCTTAAAGGAAAAATCGAATTTCAGGTCACTATTATAAGTAATTAATTATAAACTAGTAACCTTGCAGTCACTATGTGACTGCCGTGACTTGTCAAATATAAATAAATAAAATAATGACTTTTGTTAAATTGCACTGTACTATCTTAAATATTGACGTTTTTAAAGATATAAGCTCATTTTGATGTTACACTCATCAAGAGCTTTCATTTGAGTACCCACACGCATTTTGATATATTTTTTATATATTCATATATA